TTACTTTAAATACGAGAAATTACTTTAGATACGTGAAATAACTTTAAATACGAGAATATACTTTAGATACGTGAAATAACTTTAAATACGAGAAATGCTTTAGATACGTGAAATAACTTTAAATACGAGAATATACTTTAGATACGTGAAATAACTTTAAATACGAGAAATGCTACTTTAAACGATATGACGATCACTAGAAAGCCGACAACGTGGAATGGACTCACCCAGCTTCAGCTTGCCCAACGCCGACGACTTCCAAGATTATTAATCTATATTCTTTATTAACAAGTCCATCCGGCTCGAAGGACCAACATGAATACGTGAAAGACGATTTTAAGTACTCGAAGGACCTTTAGATATAATTATAACTTTATTTTTTATCGTTTTACAAAATATTATTTTGACATGACATTTTACAAATTTTTTTTTATTCTTACTGACGGACGTATCACCATGAAAACGTGCAGTGTCCCTTCGCCATGGTCGTCTCATGAATGGATTTAAACAAAAAACGAACCCGTAACGAAAAAAACCTAACACCCCCCACTCCGACCGGCACAGCGGTGCGGCGTTAAACAATATTAACTTCTCATTTATTCAATAAAAGAAAATCGAAAAATGGACAAATCGAAAAATCAAATAATCGAAAAACTGAAAAATTTGAAAAATAAAAAATCGAATAATCGAAAAAGAAATTCCGTAACGAAAATAAACCTAACACCTCCCATTCCACCGGCACAGCGGTGTGGCATTGAAAGCCGTGCATCGTCTATCATCGTTTCAGTTCGGCAGACTTCGGCACAATGTTTGTGTGCGTGCGACTAGACGTATGCGTGTAGACTAGCTGCTAACTGCTCATAACTGATTCTATCTCTTTTGGACACAATTTCGGAAAAATTGAATTTGAAAATGAATAATGATCCACAAGAATCCACAACAAAATATGGGACCACCATTGACGCGGTATTTTCCAGATATTTAGAGGATATCAAGTCTCAAACTTATGTTTCTTATTTCAGTTACCATAAACCTATAGTTTCAATGATAAAAATTCCTGAACAACCTACATGTATTGTAAGAAAATAAAAATATTTTAAACAATATTAACTTCTCATTTATTCAATAAAAGAAAAAAAATTTCTTATCGGTCACCACGCTCAAAAAGTGCAACTTGAATTAATATCAAAGAAAAAACTTGAATTAATATCAAAGAAAAAACTTGAATTAATATCAAAGAAAAAAAATACTGCATAAATAAAATAAATAAATAAATAATTATAATTGCATAAGTTGATAATAAATGCTATGCAATAGCTTTACCGCGGCAATCCCCGAATGCCACACGTATTTTTTTAATGTTAAATACTACTTCAGTATACACAGTAATATGATTAAAAATGCCATGTTGTTCCTCAAAATATTAAATAATGTATTTTATTAATTATACTCGTGATTAACTTTCATGTTAATTAAAGTGTTTTTGCAAGTACTAATAGTTGGTTGGCATAATTAATTAGAACAGAGTTATACTTATTATTTGTTTTCATTAATTTTTTACTCAGTTAAGAAGTATTGATACACCTATAACCTCTCAATCATTCCACTTTTTTCCTTTGTACCAAACGTCCAAGACACTTCAACCACCTTTTCAACTGCTCACAACTATGTGCTTCCACAGAGTTATAAAAAAGTTAATCACCATCAACGATTTTTTCTAATGATTGATTTGTCTGTAGGGATAATATTGGTTTCCCAGCCATTGTTAATCAAAAGAGTACGAAACATTTGAATTACCGCTATTTTAACAGGGTGGCTGCGCTTGCGCTCATCATATGATGAAAAGTCCTATTTTAAGACGTCATCAACGAGGACTCCATCGCAATGTATTTCCATGTTCTACAAGGTAAGAATATACGAAATATTTGTAATTATTCCATGCGCAAATAATACATATAAAAGTGTCACTGGCTCCCCTACCAATAATAAAAGTTGAGACTCTTTTATGCTGTGGATTAAAGTTAAAATTAAAATCTATGCTTTTGGTGTCGTGTATAATGCACCAGATAACAATGTAAACACTTTTTTTAATAAGTTTGAATATTCAACGAGTATTATTTTTCCAAGTGCAGATGAATTAATATGCGTTGGTGATTTTAACATCAATATGCTAGATTATAACTCTATAAATGCCGAAAAGTTTTCTTCAATTATATCTTCTTTTGGCTTAAATCAAATTATTGGTAGTTCTACCAGGATTACTGAAACTAATGCTACTTTATTCGACTTGATTATTATACGAGAAGACATAACCTTAACCAAATTAGTCAGTGACTCTACCGGCATATCAGATCATTCACTTATTGATTGTGAAATAAAAGTAGTTGTTGATAAAGCGGAACCAAAATTTATAGAATAAAACCGCAGTTTTAAGTATTTTAATGAAAATGATTTTCAGAAAGACTTATATAATGTTCCCTTTTATAAAATTTTTGACCAGGATAATATTGATGAGAAGGTCACATTTCTTGTAAATAATTTGTTAAATCTTTTTGACAGACATGCTTCAATAGTAAAATCCAGAGTTACTAAACCTAAAGCGCCATGGTTAACAGATACAATAAAAGATATGATTAAAACAAGTTCAAAAATATAGAAGAACTAATCTTCAGGTTGATTTGCGTTTTTATAAAGATATGAGAAACTATATAAATGCAGCAATTAAGCGATAAAAAAAGCTTATTTTAACTTTAAACTTCAAGATTGTGACTCAAAGCAAATGTGGCGGATAAAACAAAATAAGGTTATTCCTGGAAAAAATTATAATATTCCAGAGAACTTAGGCGATGTTAATCAATTAAACGATTTCTTTATTAATTCAATACCTGCTAGTTTACCACCTCAAAGTTTACTAGACCAGTATAAAAATGCTTCTTTATCTAACGAAAAACTTCAGTTTTCAGAAATTAATGCCCGTTTTGTTTATGAAACTATTTCTAAAATTAAATCAAATGCTATAGGATGTGATAATTTAAGTATAAAACTTATTAAAATGTGTTGTCCTCATATTATTGAATATATTACTCATATTGTTAATTATTGTTTAACAAATAATGCTTTTCCAACCTCATGGGGTAGTGCCGTTGTGAAAGTGTTGCCAAAAAAGTCAAATCCAGTTGGGTATAAAGAGCTACATCCTATAAGTATTTTACCAGTTTTATCCAAGGTTTTTGAGCGGGCTGTAGAAGTTCAGCTAACAGAATATATTGAAAAGTTAAAAATATTACCTGATGTTCAATCTGGAATTAGGAAAGGGTATAGCTGTACAACGGCATTACTTCATGTAATAATAGTAATGTTTATTTTTACTTATACATTTTTTTTTTATATAAAATTTGTATTAACATATTCCTTCTTAAGTAAAACAAACATGAGGGTAACCCATAAAAACCTAAAAAGGTTGCGCATGTGGTGGATGATATAATAGGAGCTATTGATTTGGGTCAGGGTACAGCTTTAGTTTTGTTAGATTTTAGTAGGGCATTTGATACTATAAATCATGAACTTTTACTAAGTATTTTGCATCACCTTAAGCAGTTTCGTAAATATTTTTCGAATCGTAACCAGAAAGTTTCTATAAACGGTAAATTTTCAGACATTCTCTATATAAAATGCGGCGTACCTCAAGGATCAATTTTGGGTCCCACACTATTTGCTATATATACATCAAGTTTAGTAAAAAATTTAAAAAATTGTAAGGCACATTTTTATGCTGATGATACCCAAGTATATTATAGTTTTTATCCAAATGAGGTACAAAATGCTTCTAACATCATCAATAATGATCTAAACTGTTTTGGTCCGAAACTAAAGAGAGATATAGTTGCTGAATATATTAGTATCGTAGTGAATGATCAACTTATTCAAATGAACGAAGAAGCTAAAAGCTTGGGAGTAATATTAGATCCGAATCTAAGATTTGAAAAACATGTGAATAACCTAATTTGACGAGCTTATTCTTCTTTGAAAATGATCTATGGAGCTAGACATTTTATTTCACAAAAAATTAAATTACTTCTTTGTGAGACACTTGTGTTATCTATATTTAATTATTCAGATACAGTTTATGGTCCAAATTTAACAAACTACTATCAATCCAAAATTCATGTTTAAGATTAATTTATAGAATAAGAAGACACCAAAGAATATCCTTTAAATTGAGAGAAGCAGGATGGCTTAATATGGAAAATAGAAGGTTCTCTCACTCTGCAAATCTTTATTTTAAAATAATCTCAAGCAAAAGACCATCTTATCTGCACAGAAAAATAATATTTCGAACGGATGTGCATAATATTAATATTAGGTATAAGGGAACACTTACTCCACATATGTTTCGTACAGAATATTTTAGAAGATGTTTTAGATATCAAATTTTTCTCGTCTATAATGTCATCCCACAAGAGTATAAAATTATTAGTTATAATTCCTTCAGAGTAAAACTTAAGACATTTGTGTTGAACACTCGCCAATATTTTTTTTCTTTTTTTTTAATGGTTTGCTGCTTTTTTATTAGTTTCGTTGATTTATTTTCCCTTCTGTTAATTTATGTGTTTTTAATATTTTTATTTTTCTTTTCATGTCATAGGGATATTTTCTTAAGGGTTAAGTGGTAGAATTAAGTGACCATGTTTCAAGCTTAGCCGCTGAATTGAACTTCGCCCTTTGCTTATGTTAAATTTATTTTTCTTTCTCTAATTTAATGTAAATTTATTTAAAGCAATAAAGACGTTATTATTATTATTATTATATCACAGCAAAAACTTTTCTTCATACCAGAAAAAAATCATCTCAAAACTTTTTTAGGTCAAAATGTACAAAAGCCATGTGCTAGATTAGAAGGTTTACAATATAGACCTCACATTTGTTTATGAAACTATGTATACATTCCATACTTTAGCACCATAAGCAGTATTAAAAGAATTCAATGCTTATTTACTTACTTTTATCGAATATTTCAACAGGCGTGTCCCAAGGATATCCTTTAAATTGCCATGCTGGTCCCATAACCCAAACTGCTACTACTCTGTCCCAATCACTTGGACTTAACTTTGCAGGGTTGTCAACGACTCTGTAAGGTACAGTCTGACCGTTTCTTTGTCTTTGTATTAATACTTCATTATCACGTTTACCACCTTCGGATCTTTTTTGTTCTGTTGTCAAAAATCTAGAAAAGAATATTATAAATATTTTTTGTGAGAAGATTCTAATTTTACTCTACAACGACGAAAATCCACTAGACTAATCAATCCATTCATAATAATTCATTGCAAGCCTTCAGATTGTGTTTTATACTAGACAGAGCTGTCGTATCGGCTGCCCCATTAGAAAGAGCCAGGCGGCTACTAAATTGGGTGGGGATGATTTGTGAGAGTTTGTTTATTTGAGGTGAGAGAATGCATTTTATGAATAAATCAGGTCATACTACTACGATTCCTGCTTTACACCATTGGCATAATGTAAATCACCATCAGCAACTAACTCAGCTAATAGTTGCAACCAGAAAAATACATAAAACAGATAATAACTGGGACTAAGAATGCAAATATAGTTCCTTAATGCAATTTTTAAATCCTTTTGTGCGTTTTAGAGCTTTATGTTAAGTCAATTCCGAATTATAACCATAAACAATCCTTGTAACAAGACTATCCCATAATAATCTGACAACTACGTGGATAACATGGTGAATGCTTGCAATTTAGTTTTGTAAAATTAGTCTAGTAGTTGTTCGTCAGATATGGACTAACCTTAACTCCTGCAAAGCGTCCTTGACATTGTACATAGTGATTAGGGAGTTGGTACCTGCTGGTATAATAATTATTGGTGTTCTAGAGACTCTCTTTTGAAGACCACCTGGTGGTGGACGAGCAGCGCTTATAGGCAGAGGCGTTTGTGGAGTAGGAGCTGTCGGTCTGTTAGCTTTAGCAGAGCCTTCAGTTACAGATTTTAGAGACATACCATGATAGGTACCCATAGTGTTGATTTCAAAGCCCTCAGTTTCTATAATTAATGGTAGAAAACGATACAGTATGTGTTATAGAGACAATAATTGTGTGCATTGAGTTAATTAATAAACCTGTATTAAAAATCATACAAGTTCATAGAGCTCTGTAGAGATGAATTAAGGTATAGAACGACAGCTTGTTCTCCCTCACTTTGCCTACCAGATAGTCAAATACGCTTTATTAGTTATGTTCCAATGACAGTTGATGTTTAACAAAAACAAACCATTCACGGAAATTGACATAGAATGTGAGTGTAGATGATGTTCGCTCCTATTCACGAATTTTACATATTTTCACGATTGTTCTCCAATTCAAATCGGTTTTTTAGTATCTACTTGATCACGCCTGACCTTTTACTGTGTCTGGCGGAATGTTAGACTTTTGGATGTCAGGCTATTTGATTAATATTGTTAAATAACAATTCAGCTTTCATACTAAGACGTAAATTTCACCATTACTTTGTGATATGGATCCCTATCCTCTGCTGTTTTTAAAAAACGTATATTATGCTTGAGCAACATGCTATCAATTTTATTCGGAAGGGAATGAATTGTCATATAAAAGTCATTCCCAGATATATAATCCTATGGTACCCGGCAGCAACTCTCTATTTTTTATTTTTTAAATTATTTATACAAAATCACGAATGGATTAATTGACTGTACTGTTATTTTAGCTAAAATTAATTTAAATGTTCCCGGTATAAATAACACATCATTTAACTTTTTATTGTAACAGATCTAGAACAAATATTCTATTAAGCTCACCTCTCATGTCATGTGTAATACCTTTAACTTATATTGTAATTCATCAGATATCTTCACAGATAGTTTGGAAAATATTAAAGCAGTTTGCTTGTACCAATTATGACAATGCTTAAAAATTTTTCTTTTTTGTTATCGTTTATATTTATTTATTTTGTATTCACTGTTTTTCATAATATCCATATATATTTGTCACCTTTGGATTGGTCTGTAAAGGGATTTATTTCTGTTGGTCCATAAAGGCTTTTATTATTATTATTATTATTAAGAAAGTATGGTCAAGTAACACATCATTTGACAGATAATTTTATTGAGAATTCAGCAATATGACTATTGTCAAATTGCGTTACTTTTAATTTTAGCGCTCTCTAGCAGGATAAAAAACGTACTGTTAAGTGTGACACTTCATTTAAAAGCTACATTAGGAATTTAATGGTAGTTAAATTTGTTACTTTAGTTAATTGCGATAAAAGTTTGTATTTTTTAACATTTGAGATCTGCACGATTTTTAAATTATTTAAGTTTATGTTTCATTAAATTTTGCATTAAATTACTAATAAAACTAGCGCTTTCAAATGAAGTTTCACACATTACAATACGTAAGTTTTTTATGCCACTATAGTGACAAAAACAGTAGATCTACTATTAAAACTGTAGAACTGGCAACACTCGGCACTGTCGTCATGTGTGAATGTGGATAGCATTCGCATTTCTCAATTGTGAACCCTTTGAAGCAGGGGGTGGGTGGCTCAGTGGTTAGAGCCTGGACTTGTGAATCCAAGGGTCCACAGTTCGAATCACACTGTTGGATTCACCACTCCGATATTTTCTGTTGGGTTCTAATTAACAGTGCATTTCTTTGTACTAGGAAACAATATAAAAGCCTACATAGAACCCATAATAAAAATAACTATCATAAACTGAGACTGTCTAATCAGGTAGATGCTACCTAAACCAGAAATGTCAATGTTAGTGAACAACGCATTCACAATATTATTGTAAAGGGTATTGCCGAATTCGTACCCAGAAAACGTATTAGAAACAGCAAATGTCCTGTTTGGTTCGACGACACAGAAAACTTATATTGGAGAAAAACAAACTTTATCAAAAATTTAAAAGGACACAAGTACACGCAGAGATTACTTAACTTACGAAACTCTGAACAACTGGTCCCTAAGAATGTAAAGTACTTTTGGTTAGTCATTAAAAACCTCCAAAGAGACTCTGGCTGACCTAACCTGATGAAATACAACAAACTTGAACTAAGTGACCCCTCAGATATAGCCAATGCTTTCACAAATCATTTTCAAACGTGTTACACAAAAAAAGACAATACTGATTTTACTTCAGTTCCAATCAGTGCCATTTTCATCGACTCTATCTCTTCATAAAATTACAGTAGTAGAAGTGTCATCCAAAATTAAACGTCTAGATGCAGCAAAAAATGCAGGTCCTGACGGTATACCACTATCCGAATTAAAGGGCTGTGGTGTAAACTAAACCATTTGTCCCTAAATGTCAATAAATATGCTACAAGCCACTTCACAAGATCTCTTAACCCTATTTTGAACTCTTAGAAGGTCGATAATGTGCCATTAAAAAAATCCGCTTCAGTAAACGATCTCGAAATCATCTTTGACACAAGTTTATCCTTTAACCTGCATATCAACTCTATCGTGTGCAAAACTTTTAGAATGCTTGGTTTTATTAAACGTTACATCACATAAATAACACCAAGGCTATTACATTATTCTAGAATGCTTCTGACTAAACAGTTGTATAGGGTATTACATCCATATACAAATGTTTAGTCAGAAACATTCTATAATACTGTTCTGTAATCTGACTACCCAATTACGTGTCACATAAATAGGATAGAAAGGGTACAGCACAAGTTCGTTAAATATCTTCTATTCAAATTTCGGTTTCTATATCAAGATATCTGCTATGAAACGAGAATAATGCTTTGCGGTCTACACAGCCTAGAAGATAGAAGGAAACAATCTCATCTTCTATTCCTTTTTAAGCTGTTTAATGGGAAGATGTGTTGCGATTCCCTGTTAAAGCAAATCAACTTTCTGGTGCCTACCAGGCGGACACGACACACCTCCCTATTTCAAGTAAGAAGACATCATCGAACCAACTACGGACAGAACGCTTTTATTGATCGACTTTGCCAAAATTATAATAAATTCTATTCCGATTGTGATATTTTTAATAATAACGTTCTTACTCTAAAAAGAACACATACAAGTTCGTTGGTGTCTAACATATTTATTTATTGTAACTATTACTTGTGTTTTTAGTGAAATATTGTATGTCTAGTTTATGAGCGTTTTATACAATTTAACCTTTTTACATTTTTTTTTATTTATATACTAAATGGAATTTATTTGTTGTAATGTATTATTGAAATAAAAAAAAATAAAACTAAAAAAAAAAACCCTTAAAATGGGCACCAAAAACTAACTCGGCTAGAAAACAAAACGTGAAATACGTGAATAGGAGCAAAAATCATCCTCACTTACGTTTGTGGGTCTTCACGGGCTTTACAATTAGTGGCGTGAGCTGATGTTAAGTCTAGTCACATAACTACTGTAAACCTAAAGGTGGAAACAGACATACTGCAATTTGCAATTGCTGTTAATTACACAGCAGAACGTTGACGAAGAACATCAAAATAAAGAGAGAAAGAAAAATGGCCATACCAATTTAAAGGTTCTTCCTAGTAACTCGTTTTCATTCGAGCAATTCCGGAAGCAAAAAGTTGTTTCATTATGAAAAGTTGCAGATGCTTCAAGGTTTACAGATTTTACATGACTTTGGACTTGATTAAAAAAAATGTACATACATTTTTTTACATTAAGTACCTACCACACATACAAATGACGCATAATTAAAGCTGCTAAACATAAAATAATATAAAACATTTTTTATTCGAATGTGTCATTAAAACGTCGTTTTTTCGGACAGAAAACATGCACGTTTTATTAAAAACGTGGTGTGAAATTTCGCTTGCTGTAAATCAACAATTTTAAAAACGTACACGTTTTTAAAATGAATGTTGAGAATAGCGAATGGCTCGCATGTTGCTAAAGCGTATGTTTTTTTAGAAAACAATAGCCGAGGATAGGGCCACATATCACAAAGAAATGGTGAAATTTGCGTCATAGTATGAAAGCTGAATATTTTATGTTATTTGGACTGTTATTTAACAATATTATTCAAATAGCCTGACATATCTGAAGGGTCTAACATTCCGCCAGTCGCAGTAAAAGGCCAGGCGTGACTATAAGCGAAAGAGAATCATTTGTGCACCTGAGTCCTAGTATGAGTTGAATTTATGTCAATAAGAATTGTTAATTTTTCAGAAAATGTTATTCTTGATAAAAGTTAGTCCATGTTCTAAAACTTAGAATAAACCATACATATAAAAAATATGAACCAGTGAGGTAAAAAAAAATATAAATTTGGCCCAAGAGTTTATTTCAAAAAATAGAGAAAATGTTACTAGAAATTCTTGTTTAAAATCAATATTTATTAGAAAATATAAAAACTCCAGAAAATAATGGTTGAATTCTAATAGAAAATATAATTTTAAAAGGTTTAATAACGATCAGTTATGAACCACCATCATGTCCATCAGGTACTAACTTGTTGCATCAAAATGAATTAGTAGTTATGCAACCTAATTATATGCAACCTAATTACTTGTTTTCACAGAAACATCAGAAGGCGTAGTCAAATGATGACCTTAATATTGAATCAAATGGCTGGCTCAATGATAACGATATTGAATATATCAATAATGATATTTAAATATTTTCAAACTTTTAATTTTGTATTTTACATTTGTATATTTTTGACAGTTGAGTTTATATATATAATTTTATTATGTTTATTGTTTATGTATTTATTTGTTATATAGCAACAGCTAACTCTTTGGATGGAATTTATAATTTTTCCTTTAATATAAAAATATAAGTAATGTAAAAGCGGTAGTAATATTTTGTTTCTGTATTCTTTACTCTTGAGCCAAATTCATATTTTTTGACATACCTCGCACACATTTTTTAATATGTATGATATACGATTATGAAAAATTTTAATTTCTTGATTTCACTGATAAACACCATTACTACTCTCATTAGGACTCGTGCTCGTATTCACGACTGGTCTTTTACTACGTCTGGCGGGATGCTGGATCCTTTAGATGTGTCAGTTGTTTGAACAATACTGTAAAATAACCGTTTAAATAACATAGAAAATATTCAGATGCAGTATCATCCACCATTATTTTGTGACCGTACAAGTGACTGGCAGACGTTACCCCTGGCGAACAGAGTCAGGCAATTGTTAATTGGAGATTATGTTATCCAGAAAAAACATATCACCTTTCACACTATAAAGTTTTCGCCCAAAAATGTAGGTACCTTGAGGCACTGTTACCTGCCAAATCAGCTTTCATAATATGCCCCACATTTCTAGGTACCTTGAAGACCTATTACCTAACAAACCCCTCCATAGTCAAAGATCATGACACCCAAACGTTTTTACTATAGTATATGTCTGCCGTCATAAGCCAAACCCCTGTAACTGACAAATTATAAATATTTAAGATTTTTTGACCATTTTGATACTAAAGCTTTTTTCTTGTTAAAAAGTAAGGAAAATCCCAGTAATATTTATTCTATATCCTAAAAAGTCAACTTGATTCTACACAATAACTAACATTTTTGTAGCAAAAAACTTTTAACCCACTAGCCAACACAAAAAATTAAATCAAACTTATTTTTAACTATTTAATAGCATTATCCAAAAATTGTCTTTGACTCAACAAATGTTGGTACAAATATTGGTACCACTAATAATTTATTTTATTGCAAATATCTCCATTCTATATTTTGCTTGGTTACTGGGGTTTTGCTCATGACGACAAATGTACACACAAACACATGGAAAATCTGAATGTTCATACTAAAATATATCTCGTGGTCATTGGCTCTCACACTAAGAGATTTGCTGTCGCCAATGCTCTGGATACTAAATTACAGTAATTTGTTACTACTTGCCAAATCAAGTCTCTTCTGTCAGCTCCCAGAAACGTTTTCAAAGAATAAGAAGGTGTTTAACTAATATTTTTCAGAACGTTACCTATGAACTTGTATTTTTAATATTGACATTTTTTAAATATTTGTCAACTATCAAAACTCTATGAGGCATGAAGTTCAAAGATCAGTAACAATTAAAGAAATAAAATACATATATAACATACCCTCCTTTTGTCTATTAAATCTTTCTTGATCATATCTGTTATATACTGAGGGTTGTGCAGTAGCCCTTATTGGTGTTTGTCTAGGGGTAACTTGTGGAGGTTGTTGGGGTGGTCTATGCCTTCCTTCTTCTCTAGCTTTTATACTAGTAAGCATTGCTATTATATTTTTGGCAAATGTCTAAAAATGAAGAAAAATGCAATTGCAAAGTTCATAACCTTCATAATTTATTAATAAATTTAAAAACCTCAATTATAATATCTGCCCTGTTCACACTATTTTTCTTTGTTTCATAATTTTCAAAAATTTAGACAGGATGATTCATAACTATTGGGACATAGGCTAAGGGCAGGTTATTTGGACAAAATGTGATAGGTCCAAATATACCTCAATAAAATATTGCTGTGGAATATAGGGTCTATAATAGGTAAGTGGTGAGCTGATACTGATGCTATAATAGAAGTTTGTTTTCAATACCTTTCCTGTACTTTGCAAAATTGTCGTCCTAGTCCTCCATTGCCTTTCTCTACTAATAATATCTTTAGTGATATCCACATCAAGATCTAAAATAGCACTAATATCATACTCTTGGCCTTTATCATCATCATTTCCTTTAATAGTTGTTCTTTTCTTGGCCAAACGCTTTGCTTTGATAGCGGCGATTTTTTCCACTGACATAGCATCTGAGAGAGATCTAAAAAAATTAAAATTTATGGTGTTTCTCTACAATAATAATAATACATCCTCATTAGTCCTTTTTGATCACTATATAGTAGGATGTCAAGAAACAGGTACATAGTGGACAAAATATCCCAAATTAAGGTTCCATATATCATCGCTGTTACTGCAATATGTCATATGTCAAAAAAATAAACTTTTCAGCTTAACATTTATTCCAAAGCAAAATAACCGCTTCTAACGTACTGCAAAAGCTTGTGCGATTACCGAATAATAAAGAGACTTGTGTGTCTTAGCTAATGTCTCTTATGTCGTTAATAAACAGGAAGAAACTTTAAGTTATTAATATTTTTGTATCGATATCAATTTTTTTGACATACCACCTACTGCGGTAACAACGATGATATTACTATCTCTTTCTTTTCCAAGATACCCATGTGGATGTTGAATACGTTGTATATAGGATGACAATAGGATCCGTTTTAGCTGGTTGACTTAGTTTCGAAGTATGAAAACATGAAAATTTTGGGTGATAAGAAATTCTACAGATCAAGTTAATCAAAAGTCAAAAAATTAAATGACCACGTTAATTAAAATTTAACTCCAATTTTTCATTTATATAAATATGTATTTTAATGTAACAATGAATTATTTGTAGCAAAAATTCCAATAGATATTGCTGATTTAAAATTTAATTTAAATTTTACAAGTAAAAATTATGTTAAATGAATAAATAAATAAATAAATACTAACTATATATATATAACTTAAAAAGTTTGATTTGATGGGATTTTTTTACTTTTTCACCTAAAGATCTTGTTAAAAGTTAAGTTGTTTTTTTCGTATTTATCATAAAGAATAGAAGCAAAACTCTAATGTACATTTTCTATTTTTAAAAGTGAGTGAGAAAGTAATATAATAGCTTAAAAAATTATTTTTTCTACAACCCATATTGATGCTTTACTGTTATTATTATATAGTTATAAAAAAATCGTGTCCATATTACATATGTTGATTGGTAGAAAAATGCATTTTTTTATTTCTGCACAGGTCTGTTTCATTTATAAAAAAATATATCTTAAAAAAGAAAAATATTTTCTAGTTAAATATCTAGTCGTCATCCTATAGTTCTTGTTTTCTATCCATCATCCCACAAGGGCATTTGTAAAAGTTCTTGGTTGACTAAAACCGTTTCTTATCTTGTCCATCAATCTTATAATATTTCTGTAATTTTCCATAAAAATCTTTATCTCAGATAAGTCATTGATTTTTATTTACAATTTTATTGCAGTAGGTCTAAATAATGGAATACTAAACTATTTAACTTGATTGAAATAAACATTTTAAAACAAACTCTTATTTGCTTAAATTTTTTAAAAAATCTATGGCAATGTTTCTTGTTTTTAGTCTCTTATGAGTTGTTTTGATAATTTTAAAAGCCCACAATTTAAAATTTCATTCTCACGTCATCTAGTTCCCATACACAGATAAATAGTATTAACCCAATTTTAATATACTTCAGCAAAAAAGAGCAATACCACAAACTTTTCAAATTGCCCTTGTAGGTAACACACCCTTAAAAACATGTATTAAGTAACATAAAAAGTATAATTTTTAAGTTATTTTATTAGAAAGTATCAAACTTTTACAATTAAGTCAACAATGGTTTTATTTCATGTAATTCTCAATACTAATTAAAAATTTATACTTAACAGTAAAGCAAAAAATGTTTTAAGTTTATTATTTATTGAATATTACTTGATGTTATCAACTGTGACAGATGCTTCTTTAGGTCCATCCAATTTGGCTGCCAGCTTTTCTCTGACTTTTTGAACATGAGTGTCTTCAAATCTTGGCTTCTTCGCCAAACTTTCTGGTCCATCATATTCTGCAGATCTTTTCACCTAAAAATTTAGAGTTAATGACATGTTGAGGTATATTAAAATACTCCTAATATGAAAATAGATCTTTGTTATTTTTTAGGTACCGTTATCCTAGATAGCTGTTTATTCAAAGACATAGGAGTATCACTTTTCTACTGACTGAAATATGTATATTTTTGAAATTAGAATTACTTTTGCTTTGAACAAAAATGAAAAAGTAGATGAAGTATTCACAAAACCAATAAAATGCTAGATGGAGTAGTGGAAACATAAAAACCACATTTGTTGATGACATTAAACATGTTAAGTATAGAAAGACCAGGTTCAAATGAAACAGATAATGAATTACATTGAATAATTTAAGTTATATTTTATAAAAGAATAGTTAGTCAACAGAAAGATGGGAAAAATAAGATAAAATTTAATACTTTAAGTAACTGTTATTAAAATTGTTAACATTTCTTATTGACATATGAAGACAAATCCAAGAATATAAATTCAAAACTACTAAAATACAGCAATCTTAAAAGAAATATTGCCTCAGAGAGAGTTCTCATGGTAAAGCAGCATAATATATAGAGGGTTTAGGGTCACAAGAACCTAAGTTCCCACTAACTTAATATTGTGTAGGTACACCCTTGTGACCCTAAGCCAGTGACATATGGAATTTATCATTTCAACTTTGGAACAAATGTAATTGATAATTAATTGACCTTCATTAAGCTAGATGGTTAGTGTCATAAGCCCTACTTATTTCTAAGCAGATATGTGTGGAAGTGCACATGACTGGTGGCTTCCAAGCTGTCAATTTGATGTTACATTTTCCACTGGGGTGGTATGCATTTTTTATTAATAAAGTAAAATTTAAAATATTATTTAGAACATACTTTAGCAGCTTATTAATCAAATACATTTTGTAAGTGATTTTTTTAATTAGAAAGTGTTTGTAGTTGAATTTAATAGATGTTGTAGCTAAATTTAACCCATTTAGGACAGCTGCCGTACTGGTACAACTTCAGATTCTCCATCATGCAAGCCTGGCGCTGTACGTTATCATTTTAATTCCCAGATATGCTTTCTTGCAATCAGCTGGAAGCACTTACTTAGTTTTAGCGCCACTTTAGGAACAGCACCGTTAATTAGAACCAAACAGTGAATGGTTGAGTGGGGAATCCTACCTATGCATTAGGATTAATATTTAATTATTTTTTTTAATTAAATAAAAATCCCTACCAAAGGTGGAATTCGATCCTGAGACCTTCCGATCTCAAAGTCATGACTCCCACTGAGTCAACTCACCCCCCTAAGTTTTGGTGTTCTCTTTCGTTTCCTTTCTCCTTTGGATACACCCATGTGGATTCCAACATTATATGGTTTTGCCCTTCCAGTTTTATATCTGGTGAATATAACTAGTGATGTAAGCCAAATGAGAATAAATGAAAAAACCCAATAATTTATGTTTGGAGATCAGTCAAGTATTCAAAAAGTTACTTTTCGTAGTTCTTTCTTATAATGCGCAAAATTCTCAAAATGCCCCTTATGCTCTAATCGGAAGGTTCCAGATTTGATCCCTAATGGATGCATTCATTTTTTTTTTATTTCTCATCATTGTCAGTTTTTCTTTTATTTATTTTCACATTAGGGATATGAGGGTGTATTTTTTATGATTTCATAGGGGGAATTAGAGATTATATATTTGCATATTACAAAAATTGCATTTCAGTATTTCCGATATTAACCGATTTTCTCACTTCACTTTTCTTTGAAAAAATTTAATATTCATTTCCAATTAATTTAATCTAACCACACCTTTATGCAACGAATCGAATGTGTTAAGTAAATCAAATACCTTAATAAAATAAGGGAGTTTACTACCACAGCAGCAGCATGATGGATCATGCAATGACACGGATGAAGCATGCCAATATGCCAAGATTGTCTGAAAATTTTTGTTCATGATAAAATTCATTTGTGCTGAAAGTCCCCAACACCACAAAGGGAACGTTCCCCTCTTTACATCACTAAGTATAACTCACAGGAATGTAATTTTATCTCAAGCATAAATTACTTTATAAATAAGCATATATAAATTCTTAGTTAGATAAAACATTACTTTGAGTATGCAAAATTTTTCCAAAATTGAACTGCTATATATTTTATGGGCAATTTTGAAATGAGACTAGGTTTGCAATCAACAAAATAATTTTTTATATACCTGTGTTGGTATCTCCAGTGGGGCACTTTTATCAATAGCTGGGCAACTGGCTGTCTCACCATTTAAATATGCTAATAACTCTTTTCTGTCAGGTCTCCTCACTACTGGTATATTTTCAGCTGCAGCTTGTCTTACATAAACCGGGTGAGTCAATAAAATATTCTTAAGGATAAATAGCAAACATTCTAATGTGTAATACTCTTTTGGGGTACCATCTTTTCCGGATCTAAAAATAATAAAATACCTAACATGTGTGGTTTACAAATATATTTCATTAAACAGAATAAAATTAATAAAATATAGTTTAAATAACAAACGTGTTATGAGTACAGTTAAAAATACTGTTGATGAAAGAAATTCTTAGAACCCAACCAAATCGATTCATTTACTTCAAACTAGGTTAACTATTCTGAAAAATATATTTTTTTGGTACATACCCCCACATAAGGTAATTGGTTTTAACATTTTTAGGCCAAGAGAATTCTCCAAATATAATCTGTCCATCTCTTTCGATAATTTCCTTTTTATTAACGTTGTATTGACGCAACAAACTTAGTGGATCCGCCATGTCTGTTGTTTACTACGCTATGTTACAATATGTCAAGAGTTTCTTCGGTTTATTACAGAACTATATTGCTATTCTTAAAAAAGATCTTACCAATAACTTTCATTTCATCAAATTGAATTAATTGTTTTTAAAAATGCTGAACGAAAACTTTTCACTCAATGCTATGCGCGTAAAGTAAAAGTCAAAAATTTGTCTGACAGTTGACGGCGCAGGTTTGCCAGATAAAATTTGTCCAATGCCAACATAATAGCTTAATGACATATGAAAATTGTGGCTAAATACATTAATAGGTGAAGGCCAAATAAATGTACGAAAGTAAACTTTCAGTTGATAATAAAAAATGTTTCTAAAGTAGGCCATGACTGACAAAGACAGAAATACAAGTTACGTATATAATAATTGCGCGCGGCTCCGAGATGAATCCAAACAGATAATAAAAAGAAGAAAAATTGTATGCTCGACATACGTGAATTTTTCCAAGGCCTACTTTAGAAACATTTTTTTGTGGACCACTCCCCTTAGATATACCAGCCCTGACCACTCCTTACTATTTTCCTACAAAAAAATTTAAAGTTGTTTGCTTTAAAAATATTATTCCTACATTTTTATAATATTAACACGCCACTAAACCCCCACCACATCGAGAGAAACGTTGTAGGATGTGATCTTTACCTCTCTTATAGGAACGCTCACATCGTCCAAGCTCGAGAATCGATGGCCAGGGGCCCAATTCCTGACGCCTTCGTTAACTTATCGCATGCGATAACGTATGCGACTTGATGAAAGTGTATTCCTGAGCTGGCGGCATTCGTCAAATTTATTAACGTGTGCGCTAAGAAATGATGATTTTCAAAGAGCGCTCATGACCGTTCGACAACCACTTTATCGCATTCGTTTAGGTGAAAGTAAGGTTATAATTGTCAATTAATCCTGCTTTATCATATGTGATTCTGATTCATGTTTCTATGTATTGGTTTTGGTTATGTTTTGTGATTTATTGGGAAATATTTATTTTTAATTTGACTTTTTTGAACATTTTATTAGTTACTATAGAATATAAAAATTAAACTTTTTGTACCGTGAACTCTTTTATTGGACGCTTAAGTGCCAGTTTATTTTGGTATATTTTATTTAGTATGGATGATGTAGAAGAAATAGGAGTTTTACAGGCACTAAACAATGTTATAAATTCTACTAAAGTTTCACGCTGTTTTTCCGTTATTCGTGAACCCCGCTGTTCCATTTTTAATATTCTAAATCTAAACCACTCCAATTCTCAAGTCCAAAATACAAATAATCACAGTTAAAACATCCAAAAACCAAAAATTATTAGACATCTGCAATCCATTTAATTTTATAATTTTTGCATTTTTGGCAATTTTGACATATGTCAATGCAATTATCTCATATTCAGTGATACCATCTTTGGTATTCTCAATCCTCATTGGTTAAGACTATGCAATAATCAAAGACTCTTCGTTAACACGTTCGACTTGATTCGCGATTATCGCATGGTGTTCAGGAATACTAAATTGCTGTCGTATGCGTTAACGACCATGCGTTACTTAGCGCATGCGGCAGTTAACGCATGTTTCGAGAATTTGGCCCCTGGGGCCCAATTCTCGAAACATGCGTTAACTGCCGCATGCGCTAAGTAACGCATGGTCGCTAACGCATACGACAGCAATTTAGTATTCCTGAACACCATGCGATAATCGCGAATCAAGTCGAACGTGTTAACGAAGAGTCTTTGATTATTGCATAGTCTTAACCAATGAGGATTGAGAATACCAAAGATGGTATCACTGAATATGAGATAATTGCATTGACATATGTCAAAATTGCCAAAAATGCAAAAATTATAAAATTAAATGGATTGCAGATGTCTAATAATTTTTGGTTTTTGGATGTTTTAACTGTGATTATTTGTATTTTGGACTTGAGAATTGGAGTGGTTTAGATTTAGAATATTAAAAATGGAACAGCGGGGTTCACGAATAACGGAAAAACAGCGTGAAACTTTAGTAGAATTTATAACATTGTTTAGTGCCTGTAAAACTCCTATTTCTTCTATATCATCCATACTAAATAAAATATACCAAAATAAACTGGCACTTAAGCGTCCAATAAAAGAGTTCACGGTACAAAAAGTTTAATTTTTATATTCTAGTAACTAATAAAATGTTCAAAAAAGTCAAATTAAAAATAAATATTTCCCAACAAATCACAAAACATAACCAAAACCAATACATAGAAACATGAATCAGAATCACGTATGATAAAGCAGGATTAATTGACAATTATAACCTTACTTTCACCTAAACGAATGCGATAAAGTGGTTGTCGAACGGCCATGAGCGCTCTTTGAAAATCATCATTTCTTAGCGCACGCGTTAAGAAATTTGACGAATGCCGCCAGCTCAGGAATACACTTTCATCAAGTCGCATACGTTATCGCATGCGATAAGTTAACGAAGGCGTCAGGAATTGGGCCCCTGGGGCCCAATTCCTGACGCCTTCGTTAACTTATCGCATGCGACTTGATGAAAGTGTATTCCTGAGCTGGCGGCATTCGTCAAATTTATTAACGCGTGCGCTAAGAAATGATGATTTTCAAAGAGCGCTCATGACCGTTCGACAACCACTTTATCGCATTCGTTTAGGTGAAAGTAAGGTTATAATTGTCAATTAATCCTGCTTTATCATACGTGATTCTGATTCATGTTTCTATGTATTGGTTTTGGTTATGTTTTGTGATTTATTGGGAAATATTTATTTTTAATTTGACTTTTTTGAACATTTTATTAGTTACTAAAATATAAAAATTAAACTTTTTGTACCGTGAACTCTTTTATTGGACGCTTAAGTGCCAGTTTATTTTGGTATATTTTATTTAGTATGGATGATATAGAAGAAATAGGAGTTTTAGAGGCACTAAACAATGTTATAAATTCTACTAGTTTCACGCTGTTTTTTATTCGTGAACCACGCTGTTCCATTTTTAATATTCTAAATCTAAAACACTCGCATTCTCAAGTTCAAAATACAAATAATCACAGTTAAAACATCCAAAAACCAAAAATTATTACACATCTGCAATCCATTTTATTTTTGCATTTTTGGCAATTTTGACATATGTCAATGCAATTATCTCATATTCAGTGATACCATCTTTGGTATTCTCAATCCTCATTGGTTAAGACTATGCAATAATCAAAGACTCTTCGTTAACACGTTCGATTTGATTCGCGATTATCGCATGGTGTTCAGGAATACTAAATTGCTGTCGTATGCGTTAACGACCATACGTTACTTAGCGCATGCGGCAGTTAACGCATGTTTCGAGAATTGGGCCCCTGGGGCCCAATTCCTGACGCCTTCGTTAACTTATCGCATGCGATAACGTATGCGACTTGATGAAAGTGTATTCCTGAACTGGCGGCATTCGTCAAATTTATTAACGTATGCGCTAAGAAATGATGATTTTCAAAGAGCGCTCATGACCGTTCGACAACCACTTTGTCGCATTCGTTTAGGTGAAAGTAAGGTTATAATTGTCAATCCTGCTTTATCATATGTGATTCGTGTTTCTATAATATTGGTTTTGTTTTGTGATTTATTGGGAATTATTTATTTTTAATTTGACTTTTTTGAACATTTTATTAGTTATTAAAATATAAAAATTAAACTTTTTGTACCGTGAACTCTTTTATTGGACGTTTAGTTGCCAGTTTATTTTGGTATATTTTATTTAGTATGGATGATATAGAAGACATAGGAGTTTTACAGGCACTAAACAATGTTATAAATTCTACTAAAGTTTCACGCTGTTTTTTCGTTATTCGTGAACCACGCTGTTCCATTTTTAATATTCTAAATCTAAGCCACTCCAATTCTCAAGTAAAAAATACAAAAACATCTAAAAACCAGAAATTATTAGACATCTGCAATCCATTTAATTTTATAATTTTTGGCAATTTTGACATATGTCAATGCAATTATCTCATATTCAGTGATACCATCTTTGGTATTCTCAATCCTCATTGGTTAAGACTATGCAATAATCAAAGACTCTTCGTTAACACGTTCGACTTGATTCGCGATTATCGCATGGTGTTCAGGAATACTAAATTGCTGTCGTATGCGTTAACGACCATGCGTTACTTAGCGCATGCGGCAGTTAACGCATGTTTCGAGAATTGGGCCCCTGGAGAGCTACATCTCGGATAAACAAACGCAGATGCAGATGTATTAGATGTGGATAAACAAACGCGGCAATCATACCCTTTTTTTTGAGGGGAAATGCCTTTACGCACACCCTGCTAGATGTTCAGCAGGGTAGTGTGGGACTCATGACTTCAAATACCCACTAAAACCCCCCCATGTCAGTGGCCTGTGATCGAAAGTACCGGGACTAATCTTTTGATTTTTTTCGTCAATACCTTCAGGCCGTTTCCATCATGTTCCGCCCATATCTTGATAGGCTCTTTCCTCTTCGCAATTCTTTCTCATTATCTTTCCTATGAAGGTCGTTATTTGATTCCAGTTTTCTACGCTTTCGGCAATGAAGTGGAGAGAGGTAGAATGATAACTGTCAATGAAAAAGTCTGGACACTATGCACAATTTCGTTTTGCACATTTTGTAAACAAAATTCAGGGACAGTTTAACAACATTTTGTGCAACAATTATAAAATAGTGCATCGAAAAATAATTAACAAGTATAATTTAATACTATACTCTGTTTTTAAACTAAGAGGAGCGATTTGAATTTAAGTTGGCAATTCTGTAGACTTCTAATTGGTCAGATTGAAGTCAGTTTCACACATCACTTTTTAGCTACTGTTGACAGTTCTATTTTCCATTCTGACATTTTATAATTTAAGTTTTGTTATTGCTTTGATATCTTATCATTATTACTTAGTTTTTTATTTTATTTCTTTAAAAACAGTTCTTTTCAAAACTTGGGTCCGTATAAGATTAAGAGTGTCGGAATTAAAAGAAAAAAATTATTGCAATAAAAAGTACTCATTTTGTATAGTAAATACCTAAAAAAAAATTTGCGGAAAATCCACAAAATTTTGAGAAAAATGAATTAAAAGTTGTAATTTTATAGGTTATTTTGGTTTTATCATACTATTATGTAGGTGACAATTTCGAAGTTTTAATGATATTATAATTGAAGTAACTTACTTTTGTTACATTTTAACTGAAA